CAAATATACTTGGACAGTTGCGTTCTTTAAAACAAATGTCTTTAAATTAGTGTTTATGCACTTGTGAAGTAACGTTCGTGGAATTCAATTATACTACGGATTGCTGGGGGTGAGACATACTGCACTCTGTAAGTTTCCCTCCAATATCAAAGGATCCTCCTCCCTCTATACTAAGCCGGCGATCGATAATCCGATACGGAGATACCTTAAGAGGCAGACCCAGACAGGTTCATTCGCGGATCTCGCACTTTGCGGTGGGATGCCTGTTGACACCAGTAACAGGAGTTTATTTTATTCGTTCAACTCCAGCACACCCTGCGATTGCTTTCTGCCCAAAAATAGTATTGTATGGTGCTCGCCTACCGTATGTTGGTTCAGATGGTTAAATCCTCTGATTCAAGCTATCGCTTAACCGCACTGCCAAACTAATAATCTAACAGTACAACTAACTATAATTTAGGCACACCAAGATTGATTCAAGAACTTAGTGAACTAATGTAAATCGATTATAATTCGATCGATCGTATATATAATTTGAAGTCGTCGTGGCCTAAAGGATAAGACGTCCGGTGCGATGCACTGGTGTTCGAATCTCGCTGGCGGGTACCAATTTTTCTAATGAAATACGTACTCAACAAATGTTCACGATTGACTTCCACGGTGAAGGAATAACATCGTGCAATAAAAATCAAACCCGCAAAATTATAATTTGCGTAATTACTGGTGGTAGGACCTCTTGTGAGTCCGCACGGGTAGGTACCACCGCCCCGCCTATTTCTGCCGTGAAGCAGTAATGCGTTTCGGTTTGAAGGGTGGGGCAGCCGTTGTGACTATACTGAGACCTTAGAACTATCTCAAGGTGTGTGGCGCATTTACGTTGTAGATGTCTATGGGCTCCAGTAACCACTTAACATCAGGTGGGCTGTGAGCTCGTCCACACATCTAAGCAATAAAAAAAAATAAAAAAAAATCTATACTAAGCCGGCGATCAATAATCCGATACGGAGATACCCTAAGAGGCAGACCCACTGACCGATAGGTTCATTCGCGGATCTCGCACTTTGTGGTGGGATGCCTGTTGACACTAGTAACAGGAGTTTATTTTATTCGTTCAACTCCAGCACACCTTGCGATTGCCTTCTGCCCAAAAATAGTATTGTATGGTGCTCGCCTACCAACATACGGCTCAGATAGTTAAATCCTCTGATACAAGTTATCGCCTAACCGCACTGCCAAACTAATAATCTAACAGCACAACTAACTATAATTTAGGCACACCAAGATTGATTCAAGAACTTAAGTTTTTTTTAATTAAGGCTTAGATGGGTGGACGAGCTCACAGCCCACCTGGTGTTAAGTGGTTACTGGAGCCCATAGACATCTACAATGTAAATGCGCCACCCAACTTGATGTAAATGCGCCACCCAACTAATGTGAATCGATTATAATTCTAGTTTCAATAACGAAACATGAAAATTTACCTATGTTTGATCGACGGTTGGAATCCATCAATTCTCAGCAGCACTCGACCACGATGTTGTCTAGTTACAAGCAGCTGAAAGGCCCGGGATACCTCTTCGGCAGCATACGTCACTCGAGACAAAGGACGAACGTAACCCCTGGATATACCTTCGCTTAATGCTTTTTGCAAGATCTGGAACATGGACGTTAGTATACTATATTAATGTGAATGTTATTGTATTATTTAAACCAGTTCACTATATGTACTTACTTTGCTTATATTACAGATTGTAAGAATATCGACTCGACATAATTATTTCTTATGTGCCGAGTCGACGGCCTACGTACCCAATTATAGTATATAGATACATATTTAACTTAATTTTTATAATGACTCAATATATATGCGTGTATTTAACTTAATTATTCACACTCGAAGACACAATCAGTTATTCCTTCATGTACATCAGAAAACATCAAGCACCAGTTTATCACTGATAAACCCGTACTAGAGAGCGCCATATACAAGATTTATTATAATGGAGCAATATTTTGCAGTGCGACAGATCTAACAATGTTTTGGAAAATCGTCGTATTCAATGGCGAGTTTCATTTTGACCAAAGTAAATCTAGAGTAATCGGTTTTTTTACATGGAATCTAGGAATTTAACGCACACTAGAATAAACAGTACAGGACTAGTGCGGTTGCGACTACGGGAGCGAAAGTTCAAACCAGAAGCCGCCGATTACGATTCACAGTACGATGAATCAGTACTTAGCGCTTAGTAGTTGTTAAACTATAAAAATAATTACAGAAGTTTTTTTTTTGTATACATTCATTACTTTGAAATCAAATCATTATCTGGACGCGCCCTACAGTTTGCGTGTTTACAAGGCATGTAATTCCAAACGGTTTCATTTTGTCGCTAAACGCTTACACCTTATTTATGCTGTCTGAATGCTTAATGCTAATGCATGCACATGCACGCACGCATTGCTAACGCAGTTGGACCACCGCCTAGCGATACTACAAAGTCATTAATTAACAAAATCGTAAATCTCTTACAACCTAACAATGAAAAAGTATACTGTTAAACTTACATTCAGCTGCTGGGAATTTCGCCTCATCAATAAGCTCAACACATTTATAGTCACATACGATCTGTCATCATTCAAATTGGCCATTCCGAATAAAGAACTGTCTTGAGGATTGTATTTTGAAACGTCCAGAGTCCATCTTGATGAGCATCTTAATGAAACCTACAGATATTAGTGATGTAAGGACCGGTCATTATATTGAACATTGGGGGAGGCACGTAGGCAAAAAAAATTTTTTTTTGTTTTTTTTTTGTTTTTAATCACGCCACGTTAACTGGTCCAGTGCTAAGTTCGTAAAGAACTTGTGTTACAGGTACCAGATAACGGAAATAAATGTAAGATTTTTATTATACACATACATATATTTAATATTGAATATACATCCATAACCCTGGAAAAGACATTTATATTTATCATACAAATATCTTCCCTTGGCGGGATTCGAACCCGCGACCCCCTTGTNTTTTTAATCACGCCACGTTAACTGGTCCAGTGCTAAGTTCGTAAAGAACTTGTGTTACAGGTACCAGATAACGGAAATAAATGTAAGATTTTTATTATACACATACATATATTTAATATTGAATATACATCCATAACCCTGGAAAAGACATTTATATTTATCATACAAATATCTTCCCTTGGCGGGATTCGAACCCGCGACCCCCTTGTGTAGTGACCATGTCACTTACCACTACACCAGACGGCCGTTAAGCCGTTAATAATATAAGCTTATTATTGCTTACGTAGGTACATATAACATATAAGCTCAGGTGTTATAAAAATCTCACGTTCGTTGTTTCGGGCTTAATTTTCTTTTTATTTATCATGTTATTTGCCATAAAAAATCGCAATTTAATTCCCATTGTCCCACAAAAACATCTGCAATGCTAGGGCTACGGTAAAGCCGCAGGTTATTGCTATATCTTAAGCCAGATCAAAGGTAAGCAATGTAGCAGTGCAGTTCAGTTTGAGGGTTGGGACAGCAGCTAGACGTGCAGTGTTCCGGCGCGGCGGGAGTTCAAGCGCGGAGGCGGGTTGTGCTCGAGGCTTGTTCTCGCCGCCTGACGGACCTCGTCTACGGACGATGATTCGCCCGATCCTCTCGGACTGGGTGAATCACGACCGCGAACGTCTCATCTTACGAGCGACACAGGTGCTCACGGTACACGGCTGCTACCTGCACCTCATTGCCGAATCATGGAGCCGACGCCGAAGTGCCACTACTGCACTGACTGTGACGAAGACATGGCGGAGCACACGCTCGCGTACTGCCCCGCTTTCGCAGAGCAGTATCGCGTCCTCTTCACGAAGATTGGACCGAACTTGTCGTTGCCGACCGCCGTGGCCACGATGCTCGGCAGCGACCAGTTTTCCTAACAGGCAATGCTCGACTTCTGCGAGTCCACCATCTTGCTCTTCTTCCCTCTAGGTGCCGTACCGCCGCCGCCGAGTCGGGGAGGAGGAGAAGGGCGTTCGTCCAGCTCTGACCTCTATGAGATGGTAGTCTTCTGCTGGTGATGGTCACGGGGCAACCTAAGCGACCTAGGGGGTTGAGGTTGCGCCGCACGCTACCGTCACTCTAGCGCGCTGGCACCAGGAGGATGGACACGTTGGCGGATATGGTCCGCGTTGCCGTTGTGGCTGTCGTCGCCAAATATACTGTGGAAGAGCATCCCGATCGGCGGTGTACCCTTTCGACGCGGCAGGCTGGTTCTGACCCAGCGGGGTATCCTGGAACACCAGCGACATCTCCCGGGTGGGCTGACGGGCCGCCGTACCTCGCAGACTGACGTCATTGGTCGACGACAATCGCCTCGGTGACCTGTTACTCGGCGTGCTCAGGGTGGCGCCGCGCGTCTGCTTGTAGTGTTGACCGCAGGAGCCCCCTTACTCTAACCGGGTTCTGATCCCGGGCAGAGATTGGACGTCGGGTGTGAGAATCGTTTAGTGGGTAGGGCCCTATACTCCACTACTTGCCCCCGCGGTCCGCTTCCAACATCTGCGAACCGTCCAGTCCCGTATATTCGTAGGAAGACGGCCCTCTGGCCCGAAAAAAAGAAAGTTAGGCATGGCCCTCATTTCTCTATGTAGATGGTAGTATTCAAGTAACCTCTTATGTGTTAAAAAATAACTAAATATAAAAACGTAAGCGATCATAGGCATATTTAACGAATATTCTCTTTAACAATAATTACAATTCTGATGAATAAACGAGAATTAAAAATGAACAGAAAACTCGAAGAAGTAATGTTTAAGTATTTAAATAAATAAATCGTTCATTAACAAAAAAAACCTTACATTTCTTAGCTCTCCCTTAAGACAATTAATCACAATATTGCATCCTCTTCCATTGGTGGCGGATAAAACCATGTCTCCGAAACTGGGATTCCTAGAACTCGCAATGTTTTTTTCTGCAAGAAAGCATAAGCAAGCAATAATTAACATTCGTTATTAAATTTAATTTCATCATAACACACATTATGTAAATAGAACTTAAAAAAGAATTTCATAAAATTTGTCATACCTTTTAGGTTTGGAAACAATCTCATTAGGAATCGTTTCTTCGCACTGTCACTTACAGTTGTAAATACTTGATAACCCATCGCTAATCCCATTGATATTAAAGCTTGACCCAAAGCGCCGGCACCTCCATGAATAAGGATGTTATCGGATTTCATAGTTTCTACACCTATTCTCCCTCTGGTCAGACTTGTCTGGTAAAGCCAAAAACAAAAACAGCATTAAAACAGATGAAATAAACCTTTTAGGCGCAATATAATAGTAACTCAGAACTTATACTCGCGTCTAAGTCTTTTTAATTAGTATAAGTTTTTTTTTTATTGGGATTTGCTGACGAAATTTTCGTTCTGGTAAACTTCATGTAACTATTTTTCATGATTATAACTGTGTACGTACAAATATCTATAAGGTGAGCTTGAATTTATTTTCATAAATTTCGTCTATCATAAATTTCGTCTATCAATATCGATATTCGTCTATGAGTTATAATAGTATCAATATTGAGATTTTCCATATTCTCTACACATCTATACACGTTTTAACTTAGAAACCGTGTATTTTTTAATAATTTAATTTACTAGTGAATTAATTTATGGGTCTGACCGTTCGTTATCACAAAAACTAGAAAGTATTCGATATGTCGGAAATAATATATTATAATGACAATAATAAGCTCAATGTTGCAAGATTAAACTGTGAAGGTAGTTTTAATTACGACTTCGACTCGCGAAACCCAAGAAAATAATAAACAATAATCAGAATACACAACACTGCATGGTCATGAATACGTAACTTTATTTAAAGCAAGCAGCAGTTACCTTAACGCAAGCTACGCTAAGCTGTACATGCACCATGCGATAATGTAAAGATCTCTTAAACCAATATGTGTGAGGTGGCGGGCGATATTAATATTTGTGCCCCGATAATTGTACTGGTGGTAGGACCTCTTGTGAGTCCGCACTCCTACTGGGACCTTAGATCATATATCTCAAGGTGGGTGGCGCATTTACATTGTAGATGTCTATGGGCTCCAGTAACCACTTAACACCAGGTGGGCTGTGAGCTCGTCCACCCATCTAATCAATAAAAATAAAAACTGCTTATATGGGTTGATGGTCTCACGGCCCACCTTATTTTAAGGTGATACTGGAGCCCATTGACATCTACAACGTAAATGTCGCCACCTACCTTGAGATAGGAGTTATTCTAAGGTCTCAGTTTTTCACAGTACAACGGTTGCCCCACTCTTCAAACTGAAACGCATTACTGTTTCACGGCAGAAATAGTCAGGGTGGTGGTACCTACTAGTGCGGACTCATATGACGTCCTACCACCATTAACGACGCAATTATATCGAGTCATAGCTTGACTTTTAAAAGCTAACGCTTTTGAATGGAGTATACCACGAGAATAATTGCCACTATAATATTTAACACATTTGCAACTTACAACACACGAATTGAGACAGTAAAACGCCGTCATGTAGGCCATTGGTACAGTAGCGGCTTCTTCAAACTCCCAATGATCAGGAATCGGCCACAGAAGATCTGGACGTGCGCTCACCGTGCGCTTACATGAGCCATCAACCACAATACCCATGACGCGTTCGCCACTGAATTAGAAATACATTAATATTCTACTAGCAAACTAGAAATTAGACGTACACTTATGACCATGTATATTCAGTTTATTTCTGTGCTTACGCACATGACTTTCATATATCATTTACAGTTACAGAATAATTTATGATATACTGAGTCAGATCATATTCCCAATATTATTCTCCACTGCACTATATATTTCTACAGCGAAAAAATCTGTTGAAAGAATATAACAGCTATTGTACCTGGTTTTAGTATTATCTATAAACGTGGTGTTATTAATAAAAAGTATACAATTATAAAGTTATTGGCTGCTTATGCCTGACAGAAGTAATTTACCTTTTTGTAACGCCGCTAAAGTCGAAACCAAAATGATTTTCATCTGAATCAGTTCCTATTGCAGCCTTATTCACCATACCTATGGCCTTTTCTACATCTAGTCTCGATATGCTAGCATAATGCACCTGTGATAACAGCATAATATTTTTATAGTCAATGTTGGTATGAATAAAGAAGAATTAGAACTGAAAATGTACCTTGACTTCAATTCCAGAACTGAAATGTTGCGAATCTTGCATCCACTGCAGTGAGTGAATGTTTCCAATCTTAGAAGTTTCCAGCTTAAAGTTGTAATTCAATTTTTGTGGCAAAGGCGTGTGGCAATTGCTTCCTAACAATGCACTCTGAGAAAATGCGACCGTTTAGTAATATGTATGTATTTAAATAGGAGATGAAGATCAGTTAAGCCGGGTATCCACCAGGCGCAAACTCGGGTCGAGCGGCTGCCTCGCTCCGAGGCCGAACAAGTGGAGACGCTGCCTAAATCTGAGGCACGCCCCGACAGGAGGCAACTTTGTTACCGCGAATATTTTGCGAGCCATATTTTGTCGGTTTTTTCCCGTGCTCAAAGGGTCCTCAATCCGAGCCGTGTATTTGATGAAAACGGGCGTGTTGCCTCAAATAGCAATTGACGACGAAACTGCTATTAAATTGATAAAATTATATGAACCGTCACCGTGTTCTCTGGGATACGTTACATAAAAAATGTGAAACAAATTGCGTGGAACGATATTAGTTTGAAATTGGGGATTGCAGTGGACGCTATCGAAAAGAAGATTACCAGTCTGACAAGGTCATATCGACGAGAAAAATCACGACACAAAAACAGCCTTACCACGGGATCTGGTAATTTTTTTGTGCATACTGTAACTAACATTTTTAGGTTATTAGCAACTAAAACAACGCTGCGGACATATGTCGCATATATTTTAGAAACAGGGTCCAGGAATGAATGACGAATAATAATAAAAAATACAATACGCGGCATATAAGTTCAACCAAAATGGCTGCTGTCTGCACATATACCTAGTCAGGTCATAAATTCTGTCACATGCTTAATGTAAAATAATTGAAACAAGTTTATTCATTATGTAACCATTCATATACCAAAATGAACTTAACAAAACATAGATTCTTATGACACTAAAGTTTATTCAAAATGACCTCCGTGATTTTGAATACAGGCCTTCAATCTGCGCGGCCAGTCGTCTGTCGCAGCACGAACGAGGTCCATGTCAATATCGGCGGCTGCCTTAATCAAGGATGTCTTGAGTGACTCCAAATTGGGATGAGGCTTTGAGCACGCCTTTTCCTCCAAGTGTTGCCATATCTTGTAATCTAACGGATTCAAATCTGGACTGGAGGAGGGCCAGTCTTCGTGCCGGATGAAGTCGATTTCACGCGCCGCCAGCCAGTCTTGTGTGCTCTTCGCTCTATGAGCTGGCGCCGAATCTTGTTGGAATACCCAGTGCCTGTTATTGAACATGGTATGAGAAACAGGTTCCACAAGGTTCGTCAGGACTGTATTTTGATACACAACTGCATTCGTTTTTACACCTTTCTCACAAAAATGTACCTCTGTTAAGCCCCAATAAGAAACTCCCAACCATACCATGAGCGAGGATGGAAAATGACCTCGTTGGACACGCGGAATACGGTTGCTCGCTTCTTCACTACTGTGTGCGTACACCTTATCATTTTGTTTGTTGTAGCTCTCTTCTACGGTAAAAATTTTTTCATCCGAAAAAAGAATTTCCCGATATTTTTTTCCCGCGTACCGCTTCAACAAAGCGCGGCATCTCTTCAGTCTCAGGTCCATTAGACGAGCATTCAAACGATGTCCTGTTTTTCTTCGATATGCCCGAAGCCCTAAGTCTTCATTTAACACCCTTTTCACCGTGGTTCTGCTTAACCCCATCTGAAGGGCCAACAGTTTCTGCTTACGTTTGGGATTTCTTTGAATTCGCGCCTTCACAGCTTTTATCACTGCTGGAGTCCTAACAGACCGAGGGCGACCACTTCTTAACCTGTCATCTACACTAGAGTCTTCATTGTATCGTTTGATGGTACGATAAACGAATCTTTTGGTTATATTCAAATTTTTCAGTATGTTAAAAATTTGAATTGGCGCGTAACCGCAACGATGCAACACAATAACTGCAACACGGTCTTCTTGAAGCGTCCACTCCATATTTAAAAATGAGTAAAATTCTAAAAGTATACATTTTTATTTTCATGAACAATTCGAAATTCGAATTCAATAAACTTTTTTGTGGCCAGCATTCTAAAAGAAAAGTTTTTACTGTGTGACAATACTTATGACCTGACTAGTTATAATTAGGAACAAAAGTGTTAATAGGGATTTAAGTGGATGACTATTCAATTTATATTTTAGGTCAACTTACGTGCCGCGTATTTTACGTGTGTTTATTAATATATTTTATTTTAATTACAGGACGAGACGACATATATAATTCAAAATGGCTTGCCTACTATCATTTCGATTTCTTATCAGATACCAGATATGATGGCACCAGATGGCACCAGTTGCGCACCTGGTGCCATCGCGTTTTGGCTTTCAACTGCCGGATCGAGCTGAGGCGACTCGCCTCGAGCTGATCCACAACGTGCCTCTAGCCTTTGTCTCAAAGAAAACGGCCTCAGTTCAGGCTGTTTGCTTCAAGTCGAGGCTGCTCGACCCGAGTTTGTCTCTAGTGGATACCCGGCTTTAGAATTATGATTAATTTAGTTTTTCCTTTATATACTGACTTAAAAACGCTTTTCATGTGAAATCACAACCACGTCATTGTTCACGTTATCCCCCCGTTGGGGTCTGTAGCTTTGTGTAATATATTTGCTATTCGAGGTCTGCGCTTGTTTTAACTCTGAATGTTTTTTCCGGTCCCGTAACAGAATTAAATTCTATCTTAGAGCCGTTGGAAACGCAACGTTTATTTATTTACCAATCAATTACTTACATTTAATTCGCTCTTAACACCTGGTAAAAAGTTTAGTGTAACGGTTTTTTCTGTCAGATGTGGCAAATGATGGAATGTAACTCCCTGTAAAGTCACACCTCCACATCTGCAAATACGTAACACTTTGAGATTAATTTCACATAAAAATCAATGGCTGTATGTTGGCTGTATGTATCTGGGTCTAAGGGGATATCTCAAGACTGAATCAACACATTCTTCGAGATAATGGAACAGCACGATGACCCTCTTATTATATCCGCCGTAAGTTACATCCTCGCCCTTGACGACGCCGCGACGAGGCAATGCACAGCTGCCGTCGCCCTAGACATGTGATTTTCGATCCTCCTGATCCCCCTTCGGTGATTTTACAAAATCAGATTATGGCAATGCATACAACCCATTTGACATGCGCGCAATATCCATCTATTACTGATGGAAGGACGTCTTGTGAGGCCGCACGGGTAGATACCACCCACCCTACCTATTTCTGCCGTGAAGCAGTAATGCGTTTCGGTTTTTTTTATTGCTTAGATGGGTGGACGAGCTCACAGCCTACCTGGTGTTAAGTGGTTACTGGAGCCCATAGACATCTACAACACAAATGCGCCACCCATCTTGAGAAATAAGTTCTAAGGTCTCAAGTATAGTTACAACGGCTGCCCCACCCTTTAAACCAAAACGCATTACTGCTTCACGGCTGAAATAGGCAGGGTGGTGGCACCTACCCGCGCGGACTCACAAGAGGTCCTAGGTTTGATTTTTATTACGCGATGTTATTCCTTCTGGAAGTCAATCGTGAACATTTCTTAAGTACGTATTTTATTAGAAAAATTGATATCAGCCTGGGATTCGAACACCGGTGCATCGCTCAACACGAATGCACCGGACGTCTTATCACTTAGGCCACGACGACTTAAAAAGTGTTTTAAGGGTGGGGCGAGACCTTAGAACTCATATCTCAAGATGGGTATCAGCGGCATTTACGTTCTAGATGTTCATGGGCTCCGATAACCACTCAACACCAGATGGACTGTGAGCTCGTCCACCCATCTAAACAAAAACAAAATATTTAAATTTTTAAATTATCTATATCTATACTAATATTATAAAGAGGAAAGATTTGTTTGTTTGTTTGTTTCGAATAGGCTCCGAAACTACTGGACCGATTTGAAAAATTCTTTTTCCATTAGAAGCCGACATTGTCCCTGATGAACATACTTTTTATTTTTTATTTTTTGTTTCATGTGTGTTTTAATGTTTCCGAAGCGAAGCGAGGGCGGGTCGCTAGTTTGAAATATGTTGGTTTTTTAGAAGTAGAGGCCGCTGCATGCTTTGACTCCAACGATCCTAGCATTCTCATACACTCGACTAAGCCAAGCAGTAGTAAGAGGTGAAATCTATGCATCATATACTTTATGAATGTATAATCTAATGAGTTCAAGATGGGACATCTTAGTCATAAGACATCTAGTAAACATTTCGCAGGTAGGTCGGCTGCTTGTTATGTAAGTATAGAACTTACGTTGTAGTCTCATATTGTTTGAAAACACGGGCTTGCACTACATTCTTGCCATCAATATTCGTGATATGCTTCTCGTGTTCAGAAACATTTATACTCAGATTTCTAATTTCTGTGGGCTGAGATACTCCAACGTGTCGTTGCCTCAATACATTAACTTGTAGCAGACCATCAATAAGTGTTACCCAATTGTTGTTCCAAAGCATTGAAAATGAATCTAAAGCCGAATTTCCTTGATGTATAGTCTGGAAGTCTTCGCTGTAATGATAAATAGAACTAATAACATTACATAAGGATAGCAGTATCTATGAGAAATACTTTTTTATTGCTTTTGAAGGCTAAGAGTATACGGTCCTCATAACGATGTGTGGTTATTATTACTCATGGATGCCCAGTAACATCAGGGACATGTCACTGCCTATCTCTGAGGAGAACGAACATGTCCTAAAAGTCAGAACGAAGGAGGCAAGGTCATTCCAGAGCACTGTGAACAAATATAGGGAATCCAGCTTTTCTGTTCTATATTCAAATAATAAAATTAAATAAATTCTCAGAATACAAGAAGATACCTTCTAAGATGATTGGAACAGATTGTTCGTTTCACTGCGTGACAGCTTTGAATTGCATTCACAGCTACTTTTAGAATTAGCATTGAAAAATATTTAGTGGAAGAAACAAAACGAAGTCGTATGAAGTTTTGAAGTAATAAAAAAATAATGATCATGGATCTTCTAATTTACAATAAACTTCTGAAATAAATAAAAAAAACTCACCCATAGGAATAATCGCGTACGTTTAAAAGTTCATAAATATCATTGCTCTTTATTTCCATACCATTCCATTTGAATGCAGTTTCAGTCCTAAATTTGTATACTTTTTGAACGTTTGTGATATAACCCGTTGCCACTTTAATAAATTCATCTAAAACCTAAAATCGTAATGGATAGTCCATTATATTTCTTCGACGTAACCTTCGCACGCTAAGTGATTCATTGCCAGGTGATGGGGATGAGAATCTAAGAGAGGATATAACTTATGACAACTCTGTTTTATATACTGGTCATGAAAAAAATCTTCGATCGCTAAGATTGGTAAAACAATTGATACGAAACATCAATACAAAATTTGAGGGCATATTGAGAGAGCAACGCATTCTCTAAATACAATGACCAGAAAGAAATCTGAATAACAGACAAAGCTGTTAAAAGGTTCGAACTCGAAATTAAATTGTAAACTTGAAGGAATTTCCTATTTTTTGGGGACAACTTCTCAAGATTTTTAAAAAAAATGTCTCATGTGTTTGATGATGTGTAGAACATCGTTTGTTCTGATACAGATACGATTAATTAAAATTAAATGGAAAAGTGTGCTAGGCATATATAATCTTAGAAGTGAGTTGTTCAGAATATTTCATCTATTTGTTCAGACTATGACAACCCACGGCACACGTACTAACAGCGATCCGCTGCAGAGTTACCTATATGTGCGTCATTATACCTAGTCAGGTCATAAGTATTGTCACATAGTAAAAACTTTTCTTTTAGAATGCTGGCCACAAAAAAGTTTATTGAATTCGAATTTCGAATTGTTCATGAAAATAAAAATGTATACTTTTAGAATTTTACTCATTTTTAAATATGGAGTGGACGCTTAAAGAAGACCGTGTTGCAGTTATTGCGTTGCATCGTTGCGGTTACGCGCCAATTCAAATTTTTAACATACTGAAAAATTTGAATATAACCAAAAGATTCGTTTATCGTACCATCAAACGATACAATGAAGACTCTAGTGTAGATGACAGGTCAAGAAGTGGTCGCCCTCGGTCTGTTAGGACTCCAGCAGTGATAAAAGCTGTGAAGGCGCGAATTCAAAGAAATCCCAAACGTAAGCAGAAACTGTTGGCCCTTCAGATGGGGTTAAGCAGAACCACGGTGAAAAGGGTGTTAAATGAAGACTTAGGGCTTCGGGCATATCGAAGAAAAACAGGACATCGTTTGAATGCTCGTCTAATGGACCTGAGACTGAAGAGATGCCGCGCTTTGTTGAAGCGGTACGCGGGAAAAAAATATCGGGAAATTCTTTTTTCGGATGAAAAAATTTTTACCGTAGAAGAGAGCTACAACAAACAAAATGATAAGGTGTACGCACACAGTAGTGAAGAAGCGAGCAACCGTATTCCGCGTGTCCAACGAGGTCATTTTCCATCCTCGCTCATGGTATGGTTGGGAGTTTCTTATTGGGGCTTAACAGAGGTACATTTTTGTGAGAAAGGTGTAAAAACGAATGCAGTTGTGTATCAAAATACAGTCCTGACGAACCTTGTGGAACCTGTTTCTCATACCATGTTCAATAACAGGCACTGGGTATTCCAACAAGATTCGGCGCCAGCTCATAGAGCGAAGAGCACACAAGACTGGCTGGCGGCGCGTGAAATCGACTTCATCCGGCACGAAGACTGGCCCTCCTCCAGTCCAGATTTGAATCCGTTAGATTACAAGATATGGCAACACTTGGAGGAAAAGGCGTGCTCAAAGCCTCATCCCAATTTGGAGTCACTCAAGACATCCTTGATTAAGGCAGCCGCCGATATTGACATGGACCTCGTTCGTGCTGCGATAGACGACTGGCCGCGCAGATTGAAGGCCTGTATTCAAAATCACGGAGGTCATTTTGAATAAACTTTAGTGTCATAAGAATCTATATTTTGTTAAGTTCATTTTGGTATATGAATGGTTACATAATGAATAAACTTGTTTCAATTATTTTACATTAAACATGTGACAGAATTTATGACCTGACTAGGTACATATAAATCTTACTACCAACAGAAACTGTGGAAGAGTATTTGCATCAGCATGTCTGAAGCAGCAGTATCGGAAGGGAACAAGAGGTAACAAAATAAATCTGTTTCTCTTCTGTTTAGTTTTAAAAGCTTTTTTTACAATAAATTTATTTTCTATTTATTAGTTGAATTTTCTATAAAAGCGTGCTTTTTACTTTTTTTTAACTATTATTTATTTTTCAATTTTTAGTTTAAGTAGCATTATTTATCATAAATTATTTATTAATGTACATTCAAGCAAATACAACAGATTCTAATTTGCTAAGTGAAAAAATGAGGCGGTCAAATGAATTTGTTGCTTTGATTACCGAAAGTAAATAACTGGTTTAACTGTTTAAAATATTGAATTGTCATCGGTTTCTGATAAGTATGCCAAATTTCGGGTTAATCTGACGTTTTGAAGGGGATGTAACTCGTTTTCAAAGACTCTGTTACATAATAACATACGTTTGAAGCTAACAAAAGCGTATTAATAATTTAATCAACTATGGAAGATTTCACAGCAGATTTTATAAATAAATATTATTACTCTGGATTGGGTAACAATCATTAAGATACAATAAATTATATTAAAACGCTACCTCAAATCTTCCCGTGCCCCTATGCAGGGCTACAGTCAATCTTAGTTGACGCTGATCATGAAGTGTCGGTTCAGAGTAAAGTTTTATCTCACGGAACATTACTGAAATTTGTTTTCGTTGAGCCTGAATTGTCATAGCCAGGGTGTCCCATACTGCTACTAATACAGCCGCAAATGGAAACAAAGTTTTACCTAAAAAAACAAATTTAACATAAAAACATCAAAGTAACCCATTCTTTTTTTTTTTTTTATTGCCCTTGTATGTAGACGAGCATACGGTCCACCTGATGGTAAGTGGTTACCGTCGTCCATAGACTTCAGCAATGGCAGGGGAGAGCCAAGCCGCTGCCTACCGCAATTCTTATGGACATTATTATAAGTATAGTTATTGTAATCCACTCCTATTATTTAAGACCTGTAGGGACAGTTTGTTATGTAAACAAAATTGTTCGTAGTCATAACATGCGGCTGCGCCCGCAAGCTCCGTTGCTTTTTACTTCTTAAGTTCAATCGCGAATAAACGCTCCGATTACCCAGTTGTTATTTAATGTTAGCAGAACCAATTTAGGCAAGCACTATCCTGTTCCTCGTCTAACTAACCTTTATAATAATCTAGTCAGTAAAGCTGAAAACCTTCGATTCTCCTGGACCCTGGCGATTCCCTTCCAATATTCAGGAACAAAATTATAAAAAGTTGTTGTTTAACCTCAGCCCGAGCCTTGTTCTGAGTACTCGGGTATTACTGTCCTTGTTGTCTTTCTTTTGTTTATTTTATTTTATTATTATTTATTTATATTTATTTAAAATCTTATTAATTACATAATATTTTTTAAAAAATATATTAAAAATACAATTTTTAAAAAACACTATATAAAAATAGATTGCCGCTGATGGCGGTGTCTACGACACAAGCCACCAGTGGTTAGGACTCCAGAGTGAGAAACCTCCTCACAATGCGTGCAGTATCGAGGATANAAAACTTACTGTATTTTACATGGAAGGTATCCTGGAAACGAATCATAATGTAGAAACAAATTTCTTGCACCACGCTCTATCAACCTATCCGCTAATTGTATCCCAAACGTGCATTGTGTAGAAAATATCACATAACAAACATCTGGATTGCATTGTATTCTGAAAAATATTAAAAGCAATCATAGATATTAAAGAGATTGAAGATCACACAAATATACTTGGACAGTTGCGTTCTTTAAAACAAATGTCTTTAAATTAGTGTTTATGCACTTGTGAAGTAACGTTCGTGGAATTCAATTATACTACGGATTGCTGGGGGTGAGACATACTGCACTCTGTAAGTTTCCCTCCAATATCAAAGGATCCTCCTCCCTCTATACTAAGCCGGCGATCGATAATCCGATACGGAGATACCATAAGAGGCAGACCCACTGACCGCTATCACAGGCAGGTTCATTGGCGGATCTCGCACTTTGCGGTGGGATGCCTATTGACACCAGTAACATGAGTTTATTTTATTAGTTCAACTCCAGCACACCCTGCGATTGCCTTCTGCCCAAAAATAGTATTGTATGGCGCTCGCCTACCGTATGTTGGTTCAGATGGTTAAATCCTCTGATTCAAGCTATCGCTTAACCGCACTGCCAAACTAATAATCTAACAGTACAACTAACTATAATTTAGGCACACCAAGATTGATTCAAGAACTTAGTGAACTAATGTAAATCGATTATAATTCTAGTTTCAATAACGAAACATGAAAATTTACCTATGTTTGATCGACGGTTGGAATCCATCAATTCTCAGCAGCACTCGACCACGATGTTGTCTAGTTACAAGCAGCTGGAAGGCCCGGGATACCTCTTCGGCAGCATACGTCACTCGAGACAAAGGACGAACGTAACCCCTGGATATACCTTCGCTTAATGCTTTTTGCAAGATCTGGAACATGGACGTTAGTATACTATATTAATGTGAATGTTATTATATTATTTAAACCAGTTCACTATATGTACTTACTTTGCTTATATTATAGATTGTAAGAATATCGACTCGACATAATTATTTGTTATGTACCGAGTCGACGGTAGACATGTGTAAGTAATGCGAGTGATATTACTCGGGTAATATTACTCTACGATGTAATGCAACATCACACATTACGCGAAGGAAACAAACATCACACTATCACCCAACATGTTTCTTTCTTTGTCGTGTAATGTTGCTTAATACACGAACGGAACCGAGCGAGCGAGACAAACCGATCGACGCAAAATAAATGAGCAAGCGACACGGAATTATTCCTAGTGATTTTGAACCGTATGTCGTGGCCGCTAGGTACATTTTTATACCTATGGTACGTCTGAATTTTAATATAGGTATTTGTGTTTATATTTTTCATGCGGCCAGCCGGTAGCTCCCCACAAGTACTTACAAATTTTTTATTCGCAACTTTTGTAAAATCGCTAGTCGCTCGTAATTGTTTAGTAATATTTCATATTAATTTTTGTGTTTGATTTGAATTACTTAAGCACTTGTTTGAAGATAGTTTTATTATTTGTTTTAATGCGTGTTTAATAAGTGAAAGAAATAACGGCGTCTAAATGAAAGTACAGTCCTCCTTGGATGCACTTTGAGGATATCGCGCCGAAACAATGCATCTACTGCTCTCGTATATTAACATTATTGTCGAGCTCAATTTGCAGTCTAAGTCGCCATATGAAATCCGTTCATCCCACAATAAATTATATTAAGTAAAAAATAAAATTATTATATTATTAAGTAAGTCAATCTGTCAAGTAATATAACAGTGTATTACAATACAAAGTTCATACTTTGTATTGTAATACACTACTGTAATGACACACCCGAATCATTACCTAAGTGATGTGTTTATACACATCACTTAGGTAATGATTCGGGTGTATAGATACAATGTATTCGTCGTCACAGTATCTATTGAACGCACCGAGTAATGTTAAGAGTGATGTGTAATGTTTTCGAGTAATATCACCTATCTGTAAAAGTGATGTCATATCACATTACATTGGGAAGTGATGTTTTGCGCAAGTCTAGTCGACGGCCTACGTACCCAATTATAGTAAATAGATACATATTTAACTTAATTTTTATAATAACTCAATATATATATATATATATATATATATTTGTATTTAACTGAATTATTGACACTTGAAGACACAATCAGTTATTCCTTAATGCACATCAGAAAACATCAAGCACCAGTTGATCACTGATAAACCCGTACGAGAGAGCGCTATATGCTTTTTTTTATTAATTTTTTCTATTGCTTAGATGGATGTACGAGCTCACAGCCGACCTGGTGTTAAGTGGTTACTGGAGCCCATAGACATCTACAACGTAAATGCGCCACCCATCTCGAGATATAAGTTCTAAGGTCTCAGTATAGTTACAACGGCTACCCCACCCTACGAACCGAAACGCATTACTGCTTCACGGCGGAAATAGGCGGGGTGGTGATACCTACTCGTGCGGACTCCCAAGAGGTCCTACCACCACCTACCTACCTATTATATATTATATACGTATTATATACTTATTTTATGATATATTATATATAGATTTATTATAACGGAACAATATTTTGCTGTGCGACAGATCGAACAATGTTTTGGAAAATCGCCGTATTCAATTGGCGAATTTCATTTTGACCAAAGTAAATCTAGAGTAATCGTTTTTTTTTACATGGAATCTAAGAAATTAATGCACACTAGAATAAACAGTACAGGACTAGTGCGGTTGCGACTAAGGAAACGAAAGTTTAAACCTGTAGCCGCCGATTACGTTCACAATACGATGAATCAGTACTTAGCGCTCTTGGTAGTTCTTAAACTATAAGAAAAAATAACAAAAGTTTTTTTTTGCATACATTCATGACTTTGAAACCAAATCATCATTATCTGGGCGCGCCCTACAGTTTGCGGATATTTACGCTGTTTACATGGCATGTAATTAATTCCAAACGGTTTCATTTTGCCGCTAAGCGCTTACACCTTATGCTGTCTGAAAGATTAATGCTAATGCATGCGCATGCACGCCTGCACGCACGCATTGCTAACGCAGTTGCACAAACGCCTAACGATTAATGTGAACATGTACTCGTCAAGAGCGTGTTGTACTATAAGCACTACAAAGTCATTAATTAACAAAATCGCAAATCTCTTACAACTTATCAATAAAAAAGTATACTGTTAAACTTACATTCAGCTCCTGGGAATTTCGCCTCATTAATAGGCCCAACACATTTATAGTCACATACGACCTGCCGTATTTCAAATTGGCCATTCCGAATAAAGAACTATCTTGAGGATTGTATTTTGAAACATCCAGAGTCCATCTTGATGAGCATCTTAATGAAACCTACAGATATTAGTGATCTAAGTCATTTAAGGACCGGTCATTATATCGAACCTTGGGATATAAGCTTATTATTGCTTATGTACATAGATATAATAGGTTGGGGAAAAAATCTTTTCGCATTGAAGTACGTATGAACTTGTAATAAAATCTCTTTGGCTATACTATTTGTATTTGGCTGGTTTTGGTATCATTAAAAGTTTAAATTTTAAAGAAGATAATTCTAAATTCAAATTAGGCAAATGTATGATTTTTATTTATTTTTCGTACTGCCAAGATGAGTGGATCTAATGAAGAAATTCGATACATTTTAAAATTTTACTACAAAAAAGGTAAAAATGCAACGCAAGCCGCGGAAAAAACTTGCGATGTTTATGGACCTAGTGCAGTGTCTGTGAGACTAGCATAAATTTGGTTTAAGTGTTTTCAATCCGGAAATTTTGATGTCAAAGATGCACGTCGCTCTGGTCGCCCTATTACGGATAAAATGGATGTCATTTTTGAAAAAGTAGAGCAAGATCGGCTTATCAATAGTTACGACGTAGCTGAAGAGCTGGGAATTGACCAGAAAACAGTTTTGGCGCATTTGAAAAAAACTGGGTACACAAAAAAGCTCGATATTCGGGTACCTCACGAGCTCACTGAAAGAAACCTAATGAACCGTGTACTTATTTGTGATTCTTTATTAAGTCGTAATGAAATCGAACCATTTTAGAAGCTGGCATATGGCTGGTGATAACTGGTGATGAAAAGTGGATCACGTACGACAAGAACGTGCGAAAAAGGTCGCGGTCAAAGGCCGGTCAGGCTTCACAGACTATGGCGAAGCCCGGGTTAACTCGCAACAAGGCGATGCTGTATGAGTGGTGGAATTGGCAGAGCTTTAGTCATCATGAGCTCTTACCACCAGACAGGACCATCGATTCTTTACTCTACTGCAAACAACTGATGAGATTAAAGCAAGAAGTTTAGAGAAAGCGGCCGGAATTAATCAACAGAAGGGGTGTGGTTTTTCATCATAATAAAGCTAGACCTCACACATCTTTAGCCACTCAGCAAAAATTAAGAGAGCTTGGCTGGGAGGTGGTAATCCCCGCATAGTCCTGACCTTGCACCTTCAGATTTCCACCTGTTTCGGTCTCTTCAGAATTATTTAGGCAATGTCAGGTTAACATCACGAGAGGATTGCCAAAACCAATTGTCGCGATATTTTGATTAGAAGCCCCAAAATTTCTATAGCAATGGGATCATGTCCTACAAATAAGATGGCAAAATGTTATCCAACAAAATGGTAACTACATACTTTAGTTAAATGTAAATAAACTATATTAAAAAATTTTGTGAATTTTCTTAAAAAATGCGAAGAAACTTTTCCCAAACCTATTATAAGCTCAGGTGTTATAAAAATCCTACGTTCGTTTTTTCGGCTTAATTTTCTTTTTCTTTAATGTAATTTTATCATATTATTTGCCATAAAAACATAATTCCCATTGTAAGCAGAAGAAAACATCTGCAATGCCAGGGCCACGGCAAAGCCACAGGCTATTGCCATATCTTAAGCCAGATCAAAAGTAAGCAATGTAAGCGATCCTCTCGGACTGGATGAATCGCGACCGCGAACGTCTCATCTTACGAGCGTAACAGGGCTCACGAGACACGGCCGCTATCTGCACCTCATCGCCGGGATGGAGCCGACGCCGAAGTGCCACCATTGCAGTGACTGTGACGAGGACATGGAGCACACGCTCGCATACTGCCCCGCTTTCGCAGAGCAGTGCTGCGTCCTCGTCACGAAGATAGGACCGAACCTGTCGCTGCCGAATGTCGTGGCTACGATGCTCGGCAGCGACGAGTTCTCATGGCAGGCGATGCTCGACTTCTGCGAGTCCACTATGTTGCTCTTCTTCCCTCTGGGCACAGTACCGCCGCCGCCGAGTCGGGGAGGAGGAGTAGGCCGTTCGTCCAGCTTTTTTTTTTGCTTAGATGTGTAGACGAGCTCACAGCCAACCTGGTGTTAAGTAGTTACTGGAGCCCATAGACATCTTTGCGCCCCCCACTTTGAGATATAAGTTCTAAGATCTCAGTATAGTTACAATGGCTGCCCCACCCTTCAAACCGAAACGCATTACTGCTTCACGGCAGAAACAGGCAGGGCGGTGGTACCCACCCGCGCAGACTCACAACAGGTCCTACCACCAGTAATTACGCATATTATAATTTTGCGGGTTTCATTTTTTATTACACGATGTTATTCCTTCATCGTGGAAGTCAATCGTGAACATTTGTTGAGTACATAATTCATTAGAAAAATTAGTACCCACCTGGGATTCGAACACCGTTGCATCGCTCAACACGAATGCACCGGACGTCTTATCCCTTAGGCCACGACGACTTCAAAGGGGCTCCGACTCCTATTAGAAGGTAGTCTCCTCCCGGTGATGGTCCCGGTCCCGAACCTAAGGGAGTCGACGTTGCGCCGCACACTACCTCACTCTAGCGCGCTGGCACCAGGAGGATGGGACGACGCGTCGGCGGTTACGGTCCGCGTTGCCGTTGTCGCTGCCGTCGTCAAACATACTGTGGAAGAGCATCCCGGTCGGCGGTGTACTGCCTTTCCACCCGGCAGGCTGGTTCTGACCTAGCGTGGTATCCCGGAACGGAGTTGGTCGTCGACGAACGCCTCGACAACCCGTCGCTCGGCATCCTGGGGGTGGCGCCGCGCGTCTAGTTGTAGTATTGACATCGGGACCCCCCCTACTCTGACCGGGTTCTGACCTCGGGCAGAGATCAGACATCGGGTTTGAGAGTGAGAGTTTGCAGTGGAATCGTTTAGTGGGTACGGCCCTATATTCTGTTATTTGGCCCCGCGGTCTGCTCCCAACATCTGCGGACAGTCTAGTCCCGCATATTCGTAGAAAGTCGGCCCTCGGCACGAAAAAAAACACTTGGACATGGACCTCATTTCTCTATGTGGATAGTAGCATTCAAGTAAGCTCAAGCGAAAAAATACTAAATATAAACACGTCTTGGAACGTAAGCGATCATAGCCATGTTTAACGAATATTCTCTTTATCAATTATTACAATTGTTATGAATGACCGAGAACTAGAAATTAAGAGAAAACTCGAAGAAGTAATGTTTGAGTATTTAAATAAATAAATAATTCATTAACAAAAAAAAACATACATTTCTTAGCTCTCCTATAAGACAATTAATCACAATATTGCATCCTCTTCCATTGGTGGCGGATAAAACCATGTCTTCGAAACTGGGATCCCTAGAACTTCCAATATATTCTTCTGCAATAAAGCATAAGCAAGCAATATAATTAACATTTGTTATTAACTTTGATTTCATTATAACACACATTATGTAAATATAACTTTTAAATAATTTCATAAAATTTGTCATACCTTTTAAGTTTGGAAACAATCTCATTAGGAATCGTTTCTTTGCACTGTCACTTACAGTTGTAAATACTTGATAACCGATCGCTAATCCTATTGATATCAAAGCTTGACCTAGAGCACCGGCACCTCCATGAATAAGGATGCTATCAGATTTCATAGTTGCTACATCTATTGTCCCTCTGGTCAGACTTGTCTGGTAAAGCCAAAAACAAAAACAGCATTAAAACAGTTAAAATAAAACTTTTAGGCGCAATATAAGAGTAACTCAGAACTTATACTCGCGGAAGTGACGCTAAATTTGCTGACGCAATTTCCGTTCTGGCAAACTTCAAGTAACTTCCACGGTGAAGGAATAACATCGTGTAATAAAAATCAAACCCGCAAAAATTATAATTTGCGTAATTACTGGTGGTAAGACCTCTTGTGAATCCGCGCGGGCAGGTACCACCACCCTGCCTATTTCTGCCGTGAAGTAGTAATGCGTTTCGGTTTGAAGGGTGGGGCAGCCGTTGTAACTATACTTGGGACCTTAGAACTTATATCTCAAGGTGGGTGGCGCATTTACGTTGTAGATGTTTATGGGCTCCAGTAACCACTTAACACCAGGTGGGCTGTGAGCTCGTCCACCTATCTAAGCAATAAAAAACAAATAAAAAAAAACTATTTTTCGTGATAACTGTGTACATATAAATATCTATAAGGTGAGCTTGAATTTATTTTCATAAATTTCGTCTATCAATATCGATATTCGTCAATCAGTTATGATAATATCAATATTGAGATTTTCCATATTCTCTACACAATCTATACACATGTTAACTTAGAAACCATGTATTTTTTAATAATTTAATTTACTAGTGAATTAATTTATGGGCCTGACCGTTCGTTACCACAAAAACTATTATAGAAAGTATTCGAAATGTCGGAAATGATATAATGACAATAAGCTCAATGTTGCAAGATTAAACTGTGAAGATAGTTTTAATTACGGATACGACTCGCGAAACCCAAAAATACTAAACAATAGTCATAGTGAGAAACTCAACACTGCATGGTGATGAATACGTAGCTTTATTTAAAGGCAAGCAAGCGGTTAAATGGGTGGATAATCTCACGGCTCACCAACGCTTTTGAATGGAGTATACCACGAGAATAATTGCCACCATAATATTTAACACATTTGCAACTTACAACACACGAATTGAGACAGTAAAACGCCGTCATGTAGGCCATTGGTACAGTAGCGGCTTCTTCAAACTCCCAATGATCCGGAATCGGCCACAGAAGATCTGGACGTGCGCTCACCGTGCGCTTACATGAGCCATCAACCACAATACCCATGACGCGTTCGCCACTGAATTAGAAATACATTATCATTCTAATAGCAAACTAGAAATTAGACGTATACTTATGACTATGTATATCCAGTTTATTTCTGTAGTAAGCACATGACTTTCATATATCATTTACAGTTACGGAATAATTTATGATATACTCAGTCAGATCATATTTCCAATATTATTCTCCACTGCACTATATATTTCTAGAGCGAAAAAATCTGTTGAAAGAGTATAACAGGTATTGTACCTGGTTTTAGGACTATCTATAAACGTGATATTATTAATAAAAAGTATACAATCATAAATTCATAGGCGGCTTATGCTTGACAGAAATAATTTACCTTTTTGTAACGCCGCTAAAGTCGAAACCAAAATGATTTTCATCTGAATCAGTTCCTATTGCAGCCTTATTCATCATACCTATGGCCTTTTCTACATCTAGTCTCGATATGCTAGCATAATGCACCTGTGATAACAGCATAATATTTTTATAGTCAATGTTGGTATGAATAAAGAAGAATTAGAACTGAAAATGTACCTTGACTTCAATTTCAGAACTGAAATGTTGCGAATCTTGCATCCAGTACAGTGAGCGAATGTCTCCAATCTTAGAAGTTTCCAGCTTAAAGTTGGAATTCAATTTTCGCGGCAAAGGCGTGCGGCCATTGCTTCCTAACAATGCACTCTGAGAAAATGCAACTGTTTAGTAATATATATTTAAATAGAAGATGAAGATCAATTAAGCCGGGTATCCACTAGAGGCAAACTCGGGTCTAGCGGCTGCCTCGCTCCGCGGCCGCACAAGTGGAGACGCTGTCTCAACTTGCGGCACGGCGCGTATGAGGCTACTTTGTTACCGCGAACCGAGCCATATTTTGTCGGTTTTTTTTTGCCGTGCTCAATGGAGCCTCAATCCGAGCCGTGTATTTGATGGAAACGAGCGTGTCCCTTATAATCGCAATTGCCAACGACACTGCTATTAAATTGATAAAATTATATGAGCCGTCAATCTGTTCTCTGGGATACGTTAAATAAAAAATGTGAAACAAGATGCGTGGAACGATATTAGTTTGAAATTGGGGATTGCAGTGGACACTATCGAAAAGAAGATTACCATTCTGTCAGATCTGACAAGGTCATATCGACGAGAAAAATTACGACACAAAAACAGCCTTACCACAGGATCTGGTAATTTTTTCGTGTATTCTGTAAGGCTATTAAGCCTAAAAATTGTAGTTTTAGTAAGTAATTGTAGTTAAAGTAATTGCTAATGCAACTACTTTATTAGCAACTAAAACAACGCTGCTGACATATGGCGCATATCTTTTAGAAACTGAGGCCAGGCTGGTAACAGGCAAGGTATGCGGCAGAAGGCCCAGAGGCAGAAATCCAATGGCGCTGGTCGGACTAAACACGCTCCACTCTTAATACCTCAGTCCACGTTTCTATCCACACAGCCGAGGACAGGCAGGAATGGCGCAAGATAAAGCAGGAGAAAGTTATTAGAATAGGCCACGACCCTCAGCACTGAGGATTATCGACGCAAGGAGGAGGATTCATCTATTTTAATTAGATGACGAGACGACATATTATATATTTCAAAATGGTTTGCCTACGACCATTTCTATTTTTTATCAGACATCAGATATGATGGCACCAGTCGCGCATCTGCTACCATCGCGTTTTGGCTTTAAACTGCCGAATCGAGTTGCGGCGACTCGCCTCGGGCTGATCCACAACGTGCCTCGAGCCTTTGCCTCAAAGCAAACAGCCTCAGTTCAGGATGCTTACTTGAAGTCGAGGCTGCTTGACCCGAGTTTTTCTTTAGTGGATACCCGGCTTTAGAATTATGATTAATTTAGTTTTTCCTTTCTTCACTGACATAAAAACGCTTTTCATGTCAAACCACAACCACGTCATTGTTCACGTTATCCCCCCGTTGGGGGTCTGTATCTTTGTAAAATATATTTGATAATGAAGGTCTTAGTGCGCTTGTTTTAACTCTGAATGTTTTTTTCCGGTCCCGTAACAGAATAAAATTCTATCTTAGGGCCGTTGGAAACGCAACGTTTATTTATTTACCAATCAATTACTTACATTTAATTCGGTCTTAACGCCTGATAAAAAGCTTAGTGTAACGGTTTTTTCTGTCAGATGTGGCAAATGATAGAATGTAACTCCCTGTAAAGTCACACCTCCACATCTGCAAATACGTAACACTTTAAAATTAATATCACTTAAAAAGCAATGGTTGTATCTAAGGGGATATCTCAAGACTTAACACATTCTTCGAGAAAGTGGTATAGCACGATAACTCTCTTATTATATTCGTCGTAAATTACATCCTCGCCCTTGACGACCCCGCGACGAGGCAATGTACAGCTGCCGTTGCCCTAGACATGTAATTTTCGATCCTCCTCATCTGATTTTTACTGGTGGTAGGACCTCTTGTGAGTCCGCACGGGTAGATACCACCCACCCTACCTATTTCTGCCGTGAAGCAGTAATGCGTTTCGGTTTGAAGGGCGGGGCAGCCGTTTTACTGTTAAAAGCGAGACCTTAGAACTCAAGTCTCAAAGTGGGTGGCGGCATTTACGTAGATGTCCATAGGCTCCAGAAACCACTTAACACCAGGTGGGTCGCGAGCTGTCCACCAATGTAATCCAAAAAATTTTTTATCATTAAATTATTTAAAAAAAATGTTCGTTTTTTAAGAGTAGAGGCCGCTGCATACTTTGACTCCAAAAATCCTAAAATTCTCATACACTCGACTTCGCCAATCGAATACGCGACGTAAGAGGTGAAATCTATGAACCATATACTTTATTAATGTATTATATAATCTAATGAGATCAAGATGGCACATCTTAGTCATAAGACATCTAGTAAGGTTGCTTGTTAATGTAAGTATAGAACTTACGTTGTAGTCTCATATTGTTTGAAAACACGGGCCTGCACTACATTCTTGCCATCAACGTTCGTGATATGCTTCTCATGTTCAGAAACATTTATACTCAGATTTCTAATTTCTGTGGGCTGAGATACTCCGACGTGTCGTTGCCTCAATACATTAACTTGTAGCAGACCATCAATAAGTGTTACCCAATTGTTGTTCCAGAGCATTGAAAATGAATCTAAAGCCGAATTTCCTTGATGTATAGTCTGGAAGTCTTCGCTGTAATGATAAATAGAACTAATAACATTACTTTAGGGTAGCAGTATCTAGGAGAAATACTTTTTTATTGTTTTTGAAGGCTAAGAGCATATGGTCCTCATAACGGTGTGTGGTTATTATTACTCACGGATGCCAGTAACATCAGGGGCATGCCACTGCCTACCTCTTAAGAAGAGGAACATGTCCTAAAAGTCAGAACTAGTGAGCCAAGGTCATTTCAGAGCACTGTGAATGAATATAGGGTATCCAGTTTTTCTGCTCGGAGCGATGCTAAAATCACTTTAGTAATGATTTCATAATACGAAGACGTATCTATGAAACTATTCAATTACACAAACAGAATATAATCTTAGAAAGAAAAGCTTAGTCAGTACCTATACAAAGTATGGCATATACATAAGTGAATTGATGGGAGATGATCCCGTCAGTTCCATCTTATCTCAAGATAATTTTTGGTACGCACTATCCGACTCTAGAATCAGCGTCGCTCTGGTACGGTATGGTAAATTGTGGGGCTATAAAATTCCCGGCGAAAAGTTTTGTCAAGATGTCTCGGCAATAACTAGCGTTGTAATCGTGTATTTAGGTGCCAAAAATAAGCGACGGTGACTAGACACGATCAGGATCGGAATCTGCTCATCTGCCGTCGTACTGATCTACATGGTTAGCGTACAAGAACTTCAGTTCTTTAAAAACGAGAAACAAACATTAGTATAATCTATATTCAAATAATACAATTAAATAAATTCTCAGAATACAAGAAGATACCTTCTAAGATGATTGTAACAGATTGTTCGTTTTACCGCAGTGACAGCTTTGAATTGCATTCACAGCTACTTCTAGCATTAGCATTGAAAAATATTTAGTGGAAGAAACAAAACGAAATCGAAATATAATGATCATGAAACTTCTAATTTACAATAAAATTCTGAAATTAAAAAAAATACTTACCCGTAGGAATAATCGCGTACTTTTAAAAGTTCATAAATATCATTGCTCTTTATTTCCACACCATTACATTTTAATGAAGTTTCAGTAGTAAAGTTATATACTTTTTCAACGTTTGTGATATAACCTGTTGCCACTTTGATAAATTCATCCAAAACCTAAAAACATAATGGACTATATTTCTTCGACGTAACCTTCGCATGCTATGTAATTCATTGCCAGGTGATGGGGGTGAAAAGCTAAGGGGATGAAACTTATGACAATTCTGTTTTATATACTGGTCATGAAAAAAATCTTCGATCGCTAAGATTTGTAAAACAGTTGATACGAAACATCAATACAAAATTTGAGGGCATATTGAGAGAGCAACGCATTCTCTAAATCCAATGACCAGAAAGAAACCTGAATAACAGACAAAGCTATTAAAAGCTTCGAACTCGAAATTAAATTTTAAACTTGAAGGAATTCCCTATTTTAACGGTGACAACTTTTCAAGATTTTTTAAAAAATGTTTCATATGTGGTTGATGATGTGTGGAACATCGTTCGTCCTGATACAGAAACGATTAATTAAAATTCAGTAGAAAAGTGTGCTAAGCATCTCTAATCTTAGAGGTAAATTGTTCAGAACATTTGCTGTCATTATACATATAGATCTCACTACCAACAGAAACTGTGGAAGAGTATTTGCATCAGTTTGTCTGGAGCAGCAGTATCGGAAGGGAACAGGAGGTAACAAAAGAAACCTGTTTCTCTTCTGTTTAGTATTAAAAGCTTTGTTTACAATAAATTTATTTTCTATTTATTAGTTGAATTTTCTATAAAAGCGTGCTTTTTAGTTTTTATTTAAACTATTATTTATTTTTAATTTTTTTGTTTAAGTAGCATTATATATCGTAAATTATTCATTAATATATTTACATTGAAGCAAATTAATGTTTCTAATTTGCTAAGTGAAAAAACGGAGGCGTTCAAATGAATTTGTTGCTTTGACTACCGAAAGTAAATAACTGGTTTAACTGTTTAAAATATTGAATTGTCATCGGTTTTTGATAAATATGCCAAATTTCGAGTTAATCTGACGTTTTGTAGGGGATCTTAATCATGTTCAAAGATTCCGTTACAAACTAACATATGTCTGAACCTAATAAAAGCGTATTAATAATTTAATCAAAAATGAAAAATTTTACAGCGGATGTTATAAATAAACATTATTAGTCTAGATTAGGTAACAATCGTTACAATACAATAAATTATATTAAAACGCTACCTCAAATCTTCCGGTGCCCCTATGCAGGGCTACAGTCAATCTTAGTTGACGCTGATCATGAAGTGTCGGTTCAGAGAAAAGTTTGATCTCACGGAATATTACTGAAATTTGTTTTCGTTGGGCTTGAATTGACATAGCCAGGGTGTCCCATACTGCTACTAATACAGCCGCAAATGGAAACAAAGTTTTACCTGAAGAAACAAAATTAACATAAAACATCAAATTAACCCATTCTTAGGGACATAACTATAAGTACCTATAGTTATTGTAATCAGTCATATTATTTATGACCCATATTTCTTGTCATAGATACAGCTTAGAGAGAAAATAAAAAATATTTAGTCGTCTCGCAGAATAGTTAATTTGCTTTAAATGCAAAAGATATTAATAACATTTCAATAAATAAATAAATAAATAAATGAACTATGAATAAATAATTTAATTACCTCTTATTTCATTTCCACTCAAATACTTATTTTCATCATCATGAATGGTAATAATAAATTTACAGGAAGCAGCAGTTTTTCTATGGGCCGACATATAGAGCGGTAATGGCCTATACAATAAAATTTTAGGTAGTTAAGTAATCATTACACACAGATTAGATTGTCTTCACAGTCAATATTTGTAGTTACCATTTTTCAGTATGGACCCATTCCACTAAATGGGACAGCATTGGTGTTCCAGTCGCCACTGGGAAATCTACTTTCGGATATAATTCCTGTAGTTTTGGATTATATCCTTCCATATACAAGCTGAAACAAAATTTTATCCTTTCAACGAGTAGTGGCATGCGATTTATTTTATTATAAGACATGCTGAATCTACTTACTTTCCAACAGCCTCAAGTAGTAATGCTACATTGTCTGGATGCGCTTTTCGTGTTAGAGCTATATTACGACAATCTGAATGCAATGAGCGTTTAAGTATTGCTTGAAGTAAGCCATGAGGTGCTATTTCAATGACCACAGCATTCGATGGTATTAAATTGGTAGTTTCTTCAAATAAAACAGGGCCCTATATAAATTGAAGCAAGATTAATTAGCATATCTGGAAAATTTCGCCTCCAAGTTTAATATTAAGGTTTTTTTTGAAGTCTTTTACCAATAAATTATTAGTGTGGTATTCAGCAGATGAATACTTAGCAACAAATTCATTCCATTTGTGCCGAGGAACCGATGTAGAAACCCAACGATCACTTCGTAGTCTTGGCGTTTTAATTACTCCTTTTAAATATTCCAATAGAGTAGGTCCTGAAATATTCAACACTAATGGAGCAAAATATATTGTACTTAGTAATTTAGTGATTTTAAAATTGTAAGTTTTCATTTAAACTATTTAAAAGAAAAAATACATAAGGTTTATTTCTTCATCATATATCATTCTAATCGTCGACGTCCATTAGCGATGTTAACCAATCACCATCATGCTAGCTCGGAGCTGTGCAATTGTGCTAAACAAATTGTAAACAAAAATTAAACTAAGTTAAATTCACCCCACTCGGAGACTCGCCCAGAGAGCTCTCCGCTCACAACATGTTTTGATCATCTCTCCTACACCACGCTCCGACAAAAGGCTCTGATGGCCGATATATCGCACATCTGCGCTGTCATGCGCATAGCAATGCGTGCCATCAATAGATAGCAGACAGAGCACCGACCCTTGGGAAACGTCAGCGGTAATGGCCATGGTATCCGAGCAGAAACTGTCTAAAACGACCGGGATGCTCCGTCCATTCAAAAAGCTAGCAATCCACTTGCAGAGACCCTCCAGGATTCCGTAAGATAGTAACTTCGGCAGAAGTGCCCTATGCCAGACCCTGTCGAAGGCCTTCGCGATATCAAGGCTTACAACTAGGAGTCTCGCCCTTGCTCTCCAAGATTCCAGTCCACCTGTGAGTAAGCTATACAAGAATACCGCCGGCTGAGAGACCATGACGGAATCCGTACTGTCGGTCACTGATTAGTTGGCGGTCCTCAACAAACTTCAGGAATTGCGTATTTATTATTCGCTCCATCGCCTTGGAAAGACCTATAGCTCTATGGGTCCGGGCAGTCAACCTTTCTTCTTTTTTATTTATTGCTTAGATAGGTGGACGAACTCAAGGCTCACCTGGCGTTAAGTGGTAACTGGAGGCCATAGGCATTTATAACGTAAATGCCGCTACCCATCTTGAGATATGAGTTCTAAGGGCTCGCCCCACCCTTTAAACTGAAACGCATTACTGCTTCACGACAGAATTAGGCAGGGTGGTGGTACATACTGTGCGGACTCACAAGACTTCTTACCACCAGTAATTACGCAATTTATAATTTTGCGGGTTTGATTTTTTACACGATGTTATTATTATTCCTTTACCGTGGAAGCCAATCGTGAAGATATCTTAAGTACGTATTTCATCAGAAAAATTGGTACCCGCCTGTGGGATTCGAACACCGGTGCGTCGCTAGATAAAAATGCACCGAACGTCTTATCCTTTAGGCCACGACGACTTCTTAGGAATCCCCGACAGAGGCCCCGCTACCACCTAGTTCGACCACTTGTTCTACTACCGAGAGAGAGAGCAAAAGTCCCAAGGTGGTGTTGGGTTTATTGTCCACAAGTCTCTCATAAATATCATAGTGTTTGTCACGAATGTGTCAAATAGAGTAGCGTGCCATATTGAGTATATCACTGCTTAGAACGATCTTATTATGTAGAAGATAAACCGATGTGAGATTCAGCATATTGATGCTTCGATGTTAGCCAGCATGGGAGATCGAGCGACTCCTTGGGGATGCTGCGTATAACTACTACACGTATAGCAACGGCAGCTCGGGACTCCACGGCGCGCTTTTTATCCTTTTGTACGAAGGTGTATCCGTCAGTCAATGAGGCAAGGGCGAAGTCGACCTCCGAGTTAGAGTCGGAGGACGAGGAGGTGGGTACGACAGAGGCCACGGTGGACGACGCAGGAGTTTTACCCGCGAGTATAGAGGACGCAGGAGTGGCGAGCGCGACACAGGCCGCGGTATACTACGAGGAAGTTTTGCGCGCGGGGTACAAGAGACGCGGGAGCGGCGAGCGTGAGAGAATCCGTGAGAGGATTCGCGACGTGATCGGCCTTGAATGCTAGAAAATCCAAAATTAACTTCGGGTGTTGTAGGCGGAGTAATTCCGCAAATAGAGCATTGGTCGATTCCATGCTTGCTGAGTGCCCAAGGGGGCTACCCTGGGACTAAAGTATGCTCATCTTGCGACAAGGCCCCAGCGCAGGATTTCTTCGACGTTTGGATTGAATTACCAACTGATCACAAAGGGCCCACTGAGTTGCCAAAGGAGTTCCAGGAATTCAGGCGGTCCGACCGTTCACAGATGGCGATGCGACGCAAATATCACAGGTAGTAACTTCCAAGAAAGCACTTGGACGCCAGATGTGCCACGACCAGAGGTCGAGCGATCGAGTGGTTGATGAGCACGTTTGCACGCGACGGACGCCTGGATCGACATGTCAGTCCGGGTACAGATAGACCGACGACCTAGTGAAAATCGCTGGGTCACGTTGGATCCAGATGGAAACGAACCGACCACACTGGAGATCGACTGCAGAAGCCTATATTCAACAGTGGAACTGTCCACTGTTGAATATAGGTTTCTACTGGGAAACGCTAAAATGATGATTGTAGACATACTAGTCAAATGTAGACTTCGGCACCGGTCAGCACACTGGCAGGCTTAAACTCATCCAGCCAATAATTCCAGTCAATAAATGCACAAAAGAGAATAATAATTAAGTAATGAATTCTAATGAAATACGTACTTAACAAGTGTTCACGATTGACTTCCACGGTGAAGGAATAACATCGTGTATAAAAATCAAACCCGCAAAATTATAATTTGCGTAATTACTGGTGGTAGGAACTCTTGTGAGTCCGCACGGGTAGGTACCACCACTCCGCCTATTTCTGCCGTGAAGCAGTAATGCGTTTCGGTTTGAAGGGTGGGGCAGCCGTTGTAACTATACTGAGACCTTAGAACTTATATCTCAAGGTGGGTGGCGCATTTACGTCGTAGATGTCTATGAGCTCCAGTAACCACTTAACACCAGGTGTGCTGTGAGCTCGTCCACTCATCTAAGCAATAAAAAAAAAAAAAGTAAATTTACCTGCTTCTGCAATATATTTTGAATGATAGGCTATATTCGAGCATGGAACTTCCTTAGCGAATATTCCTTTAGCTGCCAACTCTGCGACGAATTTTTTCATATCTTCAGCGGGACCGGATATTGTGCTTGATTCTGAGCTGTTATGGCAAGCTACTTCAATAGAAGTTGGACACATTGCCGATACCTAATACATAGTTACATTTTTATCGTCAAATGAACAGTGTGAAAATTTGTTTACCAAAAAATGAGAAATATTACCGTTTGATGTCCTATCCCAACGGCAGCCATGGAACCTCGTATGAATGGAGTCTGTACCGAAACAAGACCACGACTGTACGCCGATAGTATCATCTCTTCTGCAGTTAAACACCCATCTGCGTAAGCGCACCCCAACTCTCCTACACTGTGACCTGATTTCCATTTGAAATTATCACAAATACGGCAGTAAACAATTAGCTNGTTTGATGTCCTATCCCAACGGCAGCCATGGAACCTCGTATGAATGGAGTCTGTACCGAAACAAGACCACGACTGTACGCCGATAGTATCATCTCTTCTGCAGTTAAACACCCATCTGCGTAAGCGCACCCCAACTCTCCTACACTGTGACCTGATTTCCATTTGAAATTATCACAAATACGGCAGTAAACAATTAGCTCCCTATCGTAATCGTAAACGTATTGCACGTATGAAATATTTGGATCCGGCCAGCGCTTAAAAATATTACATGATAACACCTGAAAAATTTTAAGGTGCTGTGTTGTCTTGTATTAAGAAAAATGATTAAATAAAAAATATGAAAATTAAAAGCTTAAATTATGAACTAAATTAGTTCCATTGCCGAATAGATTTAAATATGAAATATTCAACTTTGCTCGTACCGATTATTTTATCTGGTTTTATTTCTAGTGCCCTTAAAATATCAGTAAGTCCAATCTGAACGGCAGCTATGCCAACGAACGAATGTAAAATGTTGTCGAAAATTGCTTTATCGGGTGATGTTAGTATGTGCACAATGTCCACCCCTTTAGGTTCCAATACTTTTCGGCACCTGAAACATATTTACAATATTTTTAGTAGCCGAAATTAAAATGTGATAAACTGATACAGCCGTGTTTTATTATTCGTATTACTTTACCTTTCAATAGAAGCCACAAATATAGGAATCCGCATTAGTTGTGATCCCATCGTAGGCCATTGCGATCCCATCCCGCTGTACACAAACCACAATGGACGTTTTCTATCGTCAAAGTATTCTGCTCTTTCTTTTAGACAAATAGTTTTCTGCTCGTCGTTTGTATCTGTAAATTACATACATTATCCGTAAGTAGTTGGATTAAAGTTATATATATTTTCGCTTGTAGCAATTAGTAATCAGGATAGTCACCTAAAATCGCAAACCCTCGTCCCATATGACCGGAAACGTTTGTTTGGTGAATATTATGTAATAAGGCTATTTCTTCAGGATCTATTTGACGTGATTTTAAGTCACCCAAAAGGTTTTTAACAGCCGAATCTTGCCTTCCCGAAATGGTCACCAAATATGGTATACTAGCCTGGTAGCGGCTGAGATCCTGTGGAAAAAAATTAAGGGAATCAACTCGGCTTGTTACTTACTCTCTCCGTGTTTAACTACATAAAATACATTTACCTTTGGTTTGTAGTGTCCTTTTAAAAGTACATGAGAATTGACACCAGTCACAGAGATGCCATTGACGGCTGTGTAGTTGCGACTGAACGGAATATTTTCACTCAATACGCGTATTCTTCCGTTGCGGATTCCACTGATATCAGCTCTAGGTGTTGTATAGTGCAAGTTACCTGCTAGTACACCTGTTTCGTATCCTAGTAATACCTAGGATTAAGCAAAATGTTATTTTTTTCATTACATGTAAATCGTTAATGGTATACTGTCAGATGGGCATCCTCGTGGTGAACCGTTAAATACGGATGGGTATGAAGCCGAACCAATAAACATTAGAACATTATACAGTCACCCACCCGAAAAGCCTGGACTGAAGTCCCAGTTGTGTTGCATAATGGTGGTTCCAGTATTTAAATCGCAACTCATGATTTCTTTGTGGGTGTGGAATGATAGTATATAATAGTTAGTGCTAGCTTACAATAATAATAATAATAATAATCGGTACGCTGCTGGATAGCAAAAAGTTTCGATCAACACCTTAACAAACTTTCGTTATCCAGCTGGGTTAGGAGCCTGATACAGAAGGCAATTATCCTCGATACTGCGCGTATTATGAGGAGGTTTCTCACTCTGAAGTCCTAACCACCGGTGGCTTGTGTCGTAGACATCGCCATCAGCTGCAATCTATCTTTATAATATTAATTATAGTGTTTTTTTTACAAATTGTATTTTTAATATATATATTTTTTTAAGTAGTGTATACCGGTTTGATAGCGGTTACCGATCACAATATGGTAGTTTAATACTATACACATACACAACAAGTTACTTTAAAAGATTGTTTTTACGACAGCCCAAAGAATGTAGATCATAGAGCTGTTAGATTATCTTGTTCTTCTATACCTATATATGTTGGAGTATTTCTACTTTCGGGTAGCGACATGGTAAGCGGGCGGTCTTCGTAAGTCAATAAAACCAGAAATGTTAACTCAGAGCGTATATTACGCAAGAGCGTTCAGTCTGATACGGCGACTCGCTCGCTTCTGAGCTCGACAGACAACAACGTATATATATATATATATATATGTCGGCGCGTGTTTTAAATGAATGTATGTAAATGAATGTGTATATAAATGAATTGCTGTTCGTTAGTCTCGCTAAAACTCAAGAACGGCTGGACCGATTTGGCTAATTCTGGTCTTGAATTATTTGTGGAAGTCCAGAGAAAGTTTAAAAGGTAGATAAATATGAAAATGCTCAGAATGAAATAAAAATTTTGTTTTTCCTTTGATGTCCCCCCGTCGGACTGATTCCTTTTGTTTGTTTTATGTTTATTTTATACAAAAGTTTAGGTCTCTTATTTATCGATTGAGGCACTACGAAGTCTGCCGGGTTAGCTAGTACTTAATAAAAGGCATCAGTCGTGTTGTCCTAAAGTAGAAGACCACAAATGTACTTAAAACGAACCATCTATATATATAAATGAATTGCTGTTCGTTAGTCTAGCTAAAACTCGAGAACGACTGGACCGATTTGGCTAATTTCGGTCTTGAATTATTTGTGGAAGTCCAGAGAAGGCTCAAAAGGTAGATAAATATGAAAATGCTCGGAATTAACTAAAAATAACAATTTTGTTTTTCCTTTGATGTGTCTCCCGTCGGACGGATTCATTTTATTAGTTTTAAGTTTATTTTGTACAAAAGTGTAGGTCTTTTACATATCGATTGAGGCACTACGAAGTCTGCCGGGTCAGCTAGTTTATAATAAAATTTTAATAACCTTTGTAATGGAGGAGATTCCAGTAGCAGCTTCACTGTAACCTATGTTTGACATCACACTGCCGACCAGTAGAGGATCTTTTCTATTATTACAAAATACCTTATCGATAGTCTCTAGTTCTGATCGATCCGCTTCAGATACAGCTGAAATAATGTTGCAAAGGTATGGTGTTATCCATCTTTTACATCCTAACATTTGATTATTAATTAAATAATAAGTTGTTAAGGTTTATTCTTTAATGATATTTTTACATAAGTACAGCTTAGTTCAGTAATTCATTCACTGATTTACTCGTAGGAAACTCCAGCTTGAATCTTTATATTGTGCTATAACTAGGATACAGTAATAAATATTTATTCACCTGACCCAAAAGCTTCTACGTATTCAACAGCATCAGGTGACACTCCAGCATTTTCATACAACTTCTTTAGGAAATTCGCTATGACATCTGGATCACGACAAAATCCAAACTTTGGTCCAGTTACGGCATTTGGTAAAGCCGTAAATTCTGTTTTCACAAAAACAATTTCTGCGTAAACTCTGAAAGTTAACGCAGCTTACGTAGTAGAATTTTTTTATTTGTTCTCTTATAATTTCCAAAATATTGTTTCATTTTGGAAGTCATAAAATTTTGAGCTTTTTTTACCTGAGCGCATTTTCGGCCTTCTGAAGAAATAAAACGTTTATAGCTTCCGATTTGGCACAACCATCTGCGTTTTGATCGAAGGATTTCGTTTTCGCATCCATGCAAATAGTCAAGAGCCTAGAATTAATAAGTTCAGTAGTAGCTTTACCTAAATAATAATAATTTTTATAAGTTCAGTTTATTAATATTTCAAAATTGTACTTTGCTCAATCCGAATCCAGCCCCCTCGTGGTAACCTGGGGCTCCGGAAACCAGCACGAGGGGCATGTCAAACACACGCCGCGATCGCGCGGTGCCGTGATTTATTTTCTTAATATATTATAATTATTGGCTTTTCACTCACCACAAACCGATGACCTCGTCGTATTGTGCATTAGGATAGGAGGTTTCAGAGTTTTTTTATGGCCCTTTTAGGCCGACGAGCATACCTGATGGTCAGTGGTTACCGTCACCCATGGACTTCAGCAATGCCAGGGGCAGAACCAAGCCACTGCCTACCGCTTAATACTCTCCACAAGCCTCTTTTGAAGAAGGACATGTCATAGGGAAACACCCTGGAGAGGAGCTCATTCCATAGCCGGAGGATGAGGATGTGGTAGGGAAAGTTGGGGATGATGAGATACTGTGGCTGTGCGGCCAACCCGTGTGTCTATCTTGCCAACCGAGAGGTGACAAATGTCGTGTCCAGTGTTGCCGTGGTAAAAAACTCAAAAACCCCCAGATTGATTTCGAGCATTCTTTGCAATTTTAAATCATAACCGACAATATTTAAAAGGTCGTGTTTACCTTCCGTGATGAATCAAGGAATGTGGATGAAGGCATATGTTAGTTCCTCCGACGATAGCCGCTTCGCATTCCCCTCGAGTCATGGCGAGGTAGGCTTGTTCAATAGCTGCAGTAGAGCTACAACAGGCTTCGTCTATTGCCATCGACGGTCGTTTGACATTTAACCAGTATGAAATACGATTTGCAAACATAGTTTTGCTGCACCTAGAATGTTAACAATAATTGCAGATACTTAGTTCAGTAAAAAGTATATGTCCATCTTGATTGAGCTGAAAGTCGTCGTATCCTAAAGGATAAGACGTCCGGTGCATCCGGGTTGAGCGATGCATCGGTGTTCGAATCCCAGGCGGGTACCAATTTTTCTAATGAAACTTAACAAATGTTAACGATTGACTTCCATGGTGAAGGAATAACATCGTGTAATAAAAATCAAACCCGCAAAATTATAATTTGCGTAATTACTAGTGATAGAAGTCCTGTGAGTCCGCACGAGTAGGTACCACCACCCTTCTGCCTTGAAGTTACCGTAACTATGAGACCTTAGAACTTATATCTCAAGGTGGGTAGCGCATTTACGTCGTAGATGTCTATGAGCTCCAGTAACTACTTAACACCAGGTGGGCTCTCCATACATCTAACCAATAAAAATAAATAAATAAAAAGTTTTTTTATTAAAATTCGTGAGTCCTAGTTCTAATTAAATCCACTTTAACGATTGAATATCGATCAACTTCATCCGTGCGTTTCGTCCGTGTCGAAAACTGTAAATATTTCGAAATATCGGCAAGAATATAATGACCATAAAAACTCGCGATTCTAGTCATTGTTATAATATGTAGTAAGTAGCCTTTTTATTTTCCTTCATTTTTAATCNTTTTTTATTAAAATTCGTGAGTCCTAGTTCTAATTAAATCCACTTTAACGATTGAATATCGATCAACTTCATCCGTGCGTTTCGTCCGTGTCGAAAACTGTAAATATTTCGAAATATCGGCAAGAATATAATGACCATAAAAACTCGCGATTCTAGTCATTGTTATAATATGTAGTAAGTAGCCTTTTTATTTTCCTTCATTTTTAATCCAACTTTCCCTATGGTTTCTATGTTGCACCACGTAATCCACGTTCTGAGTTAATCATGAATTGGAATTATCCTATCGTTATCCCAGGCAATTTACTCCAACCATATTGGAAGCAAGGAGCAATAAAATTGAGGAATCTGTGGACCTCTATCTGTCCACAGACATCCACTGCTCGACATGGAGCTACCACAAGCCTCGCCACTTCTTCTTCTTCCAGTGCCTCTTCAATCCTGAAGGTTGGCCGTTAGCTTTCTATATTCGTTTTTATCTGCAGCCAGCCGGAACAGCTGTTCGACGGAGGCAATACCGGTCCACTCCCGGATATTCCTCCACTCGCCACTACAATCGGTATTCACTGCCTGCATCCAGTGGATTCCTACGGCCTGGAGCAGATCGTCGAGAGGATCTACGTAGGCTATGTCTTTCGGTACGCCGTCGCCACTAGATAGCGTTTTGGTCTCAGCGGAAATATGTTCGACGAACAATGTATCCTGCCCACTGCCACTTCAATCTGGCCATCCTATAGGCCCCAGTAATCACTTAATACTGGCAGCCCTTCAATATTTATATGAAAAAAAAAAGTTTATCTTTTTCTTTTTGAATATATTATTAACATACATTTTAAAATCGTATAACTTACCCTGCAATGCCAAAACCTGTCCTAGAGTTAGCTACATAAAAGCTAGTCTTTTCAGTTTCAGAGAAACATGTCCCAATGTACACTCCTACTTTTTTTCCAGCAAGATGTTGTGGATTAACACCTGTTAACAGAATAACGCTTGATATCGGTAAATTAATTGTACCCAATATAGCTATAACAACAACTCGGAATAAAATAATAATAATAAAACATAAAATAAAAATGAATGTCATAACTCCTTTAACCTAAAGGCCGGTTTGGATCCAGAGTGTTCAACATGCACACGTGTCCAGTGTTGCATTATTGGACAGTCCAGATCCATCCGCTAGACGAACAGCCGCAGGTAGCTGCTGCGACTGACCCGCACGCGGCAAATAAGGGAAGCGATTCGATTACGAATGATCGCTGCGAAGATATCTATTCTAGCATCCGCAAACATAAAGAAAGTACGAGTAATCATAAATTTGTAAAGACAGACACTGACGGACGAGATTTGCACCGCTTTCAGAGATATTATTCACTATTAGATTAAAAGACTTACTAGAAAAGCTGTTCTCACTTTACAATGCCTCCAGCAGTAAAAAATAATAAAATACAAATTTCTAATAAAAATTAACTCGATGTAACTCGGACGCCCGACCGACAGGTCGCCGAGGCGATAGTCGACGACTTAGAACCCTTAACCTAAGTCCACGACGCTGAGTCCTAGTAGCATAAACCAGATGCCCACTGCATTAAAAGGCCCTTGATTTATTTGTAGAAATTAACAAAGGGAAGGATTCCATGGACCGCCTTTTTTTTTCTGTAGAACCCAGTTCTAATGTTAATTTCAGAACTTCCAATGCATCCATTTTTTTCTTAAAAATGTCGTGAGCGCAATGCAGGGTTTGTCAATTCACTTATTGTACTAACTTTTTTTTGGATTTTTTTAAATTATATATAAATTATAAAAAAACACAATATGCTGAATCTGTTTATGAAAAAGTGGATGAAAGTCGGCCTAGTCGTTTTTTTTTATTGTTTAGATGGGTGGACGAGCTCACAGCCCACCTGGTGTTAAGTGGTTACTGGAGCCCATAGACATCTACAACGTAAATGCGCCACCCACCTTGAGATATAAGTTCTAAGGTCTCAGTATAAATAAACAACGGCTGCCCCACCCTTCAAGCCCAAACGCATTATTGCTTCACGGCAGAAATAGGCGGGGTGGGGGTACCTACCCGTGCGGACTCATAACATGTCCTACTACCAATGAAAAAGTTAGTCGCACTAACTAACTAATTTATGTGTATTATCTATGCTCGCCGAGTCAGTCAAATATACGATTGCACTTGAACAGAATTACATGTCGATTATGCCTTTCGAGCTCTATGTTCTGTATACTTTGTATTTTCTTTGTCTATCTAAGTAATATCGTAACAAAATTGAACTATTTACCGGCATCATATATTGCTTGATATGTTTGTTCCAGCACTTTTCTTCCCATTGAATCCATGCTGTTTCCAAGACGAAAATGTACCTTGAAGAATTGAGCATCGAAACGGTCAAGATCAAGGAGCTTTCCAGTGCATTGTGACACTTCAGGGTGGGAATAACTCCAACGTTGACGCTCGGATGTTATTGGATCTTTCTAGAAGGGTAAAGTAATTAGATTTTATACATCATAAAATACTTAAAATTGAAAGTTTTATTTATGTATATTTTTTTGTATGTATAATATGTATATTATTATAGTTTTTTGGACTTAAAGACAATGCGACTAAGTGATTATCGTAACCCATAGACATATTGTGAATGCCGCTGCACATCTTGAGACACTACATTGTAGTTTGAAAATACATGACAGCGGTCTCATCCTTCAAACCATAAGGTATATGACTACTTCGCGGTAGACGTAGATAGTACCTACGTATTTTACAATATTTCGCCCTACCACCATAATGGCTTATAAAATTGTTTTTTTTTTTAAATTATAACACAATTTTATTACATATTTCTTTAGAGAAATTGATATTATCTTAATGTGGGATTTGGATCCCTGCACAGTCGCATCACTTGATATAATTGGGCGTCATGTTACGATAGTACAGTTTAANCGGTAGACGTAGATAGTACCTACGTATTTTACAATATTTCGCCCTACCACCATAATGGCTTATAAAATTGTTTTTTTTTTTAAATTATAACACAATTTTATTACATATTTCTTTAGAGAAATTGATATTATCTTAATGTGGGATTTGGATCCCTGCACAGTCGCATCACTTGATATAATTGGGCGTCATGTTACGATAGTACAGTTTAAAGTGTCCAGTTACGAACCTTGTTATACAAAATATCTGCCAAATCCTTAACAGATTTACAGTCAGGGTACAGGCCAGACATTCCGGAAATTACAACCCTTTCGCCGATGATAGGTTGCTTCGGTACATCTTCTAGTACCTTGTTGTCTTGAGGTGTAGGGGCCATCATAATAAATTATTTGGTAACTTTTCTTATGTTGCTATAACCAAATTGATGAACAAATTCAATAAACAACCGCTTTATATAGTAAACTAGTTCATTTTGTTAGCTTAATTCTTTTTAAAATGTAAGTCAACAATTAAAGCAATTTGATTCAAGTATTAAATTAGGAATTGCACAATTATTGCATGCTTGCATTTGTTTGTCTATTCAGTGGTCAAAAGATCAGACGGTTCAAGGGATCAGTAATTTAAAATTAAGCTTACAATTTTATCTGCCACTGAAGTTAACATCGAAAAAGAGAAGTATCCAATTTAGGAGTAAGGATTACTTGTGATCCGGAGGCCTTTTCAGTTTCATCAGGATAGATGGGCGAGCAAAGGCTCAGCCAGGAGGGGTGGGATTTGCTAACAGTTGCCCGAGCGCCTCCAAAGAAGAATTCATATTTGAAGGGTAGCTCCTTCGTGAGTTAAATGCATTCACAAGTGGCGCGCAGAGCACTACGCTCAGCGGCTTATAAGGGGCCATTCCCCCACCCGACGGCTCGTCACTCCAAGCACCCAACACTAATTACTAAATACAGTATTTACACAACAACAGCAGTCAGCTACAACCGGGTGGGGCTCGCAACCGGCCCCATGCTGTGGCCCCTCTACAAGTTAGGGGAGGGGCCATAGCACATTTTTGACGCTCACCCGCTCTGGGTCCGCTGTGCTTCCGTTTCATTAAGCTAGCGCTTGATCCTGGAACAACAATTCGCCCAGAGCCTTCGTAAACTCCTCCTCTGGCGAAAAATCGCCTTCAAATGGGCTGCGACTCTGCCTCTCGACCTACTGACACAAGAGTTGTCACCTAGTCTATCGCGCCCTAAACGAAATCGACAGAGCAGGATTCTGCATCATTGACACCATCAGGTGTCATTCAGGCCACAGTGGTGGCACTCCGTTGTCATGGAGCTACCGGCCGAAAGCAAATGCAAAAGGATAACAAAATGCATCGCCGAAAGGTTGGACGCCCCCAGTCACAGTTCACGCAGTCCGCGAATACCGGGCACACCGCCTCGACAGTGTGTTGATTCCCTCCTGTCGCCCACTTAAACAAACGAGAGGTCCAGCTCGCTTAGGATATTCATAAAAATAATATAATCCATATAATTTTTTAATAATTAATACTGCGCAGTTGGTTTTTACAAGGTTAACTTGTAATGTCACCGCATAGCTAAAATGCACATGCACTTGTCGTTAACGAAAATTATAATTACAAATCAATAATGATTTATTCAAAATGATTGCTTTTGCATTTTCGTAATTGACTTTTAGTTCGCAATAATTTTTGTCTAAGTATCGTTCGGTGAAAGCTCATCCTTTCCGTCCATTTCCTGAACATCTTTAATATTTCAAGATCATAATTAGGCAAATAGGTTCAGCCGTTCTTGAGTTTTAGCGAGACCAACGAACAGCAATTCATTTATTATATTAACTAGTCAGGTCATAAGTATTGTCACACAGTAAAAACTTTTCTTTTAGAATGCTGGCCACAAAAAAGTTTATTGAATTCGAATTTCGAATTGTTCATGAAAATAAAAATGTATACTTTTAGAATTTTACTCATTTTTAAATATGGAGTGGACGCTTAAAGAAGACCGTGTTGCAGTTATTGCGTTGCATCGTTGCGGTTACGCGCCAATTCAAATTTTTAACATACTGAAAAATTTGAATATAACCAAAAGATTCGTTTATCGTACCATCAAACGATACAATGAAGACTCTAGTGTAGATGACAGGTCAAGAAGTGGTCGCCCTCGGTCTGTTAGGACTCCAGCAGTGATAAAAGCTGTGAAGGCGCGAATTCAAAGAAATCCCAAACGTAAGCAGAAACTGTTGGCCCTTCAGATGGGGTTAAGCAGAACCACGGTGAAAAGGGTGTTAAATGAAGACTTAGGGCTTCGGGCATATCGAAGAAAAACAGGACATCGTTTGAATGCTCGTCTAATGGACCTGAGACTGAAGAGATGCCGCGCTTTGTTGAAGCGGTACGCGGGAAAAAAATATCGGGAAATTCTTTTTTCGGATGAAAAAATTTTTACCGTAGAAGAGAGCTACAACAAACAAAATGATAAGGTGTACGCACACAGTAGTGAAGAAGCGAGCAACCGTATTCCGCGTGTCCAACGAGGTCATTTTCCATCCTCGCTCATGGTATGGTTGGGAGTTTCTTATTGGGGCTTAACAGAGGTACATTTTTGTGAGAAAGGTGTAAAAACGAATGCAGTTGTGTATCAAAATACAGTCCTGACGAACCTTGTGGAACCTGTTTCTCATACCATGTTCAATAACAGGCACTGGGTATTCCAACAAGATTCGGCGCCAGCTCATAGAGCGAAGAGCACACAAGACTGGCTGGCGGCGCGTGAAATCGACTTCATCCGGCACGAAGACTGGCCCTCCTCCAGTCCAGATTTGAATCCGTTAGATTACAAGATATGGCAACACTTGGAGGAAAAGGCGTGCTCAAAGCCTCATCCCAATTTGGAGTCACTCAAGACATCCTTGATTAAGGCAGCCGCCGATATTGACATGGACCTCGTTCGTGCTGCGATAGACGACTGGCCGCGCAGATTGAAGGCCTGTATTCAAAATCACGGAGGTCATTTTGAATAAACTTTAGTGTCATAAGAATCTATCTTTTGTTAAGTTCATTTTGGTATATGAATGGTTACATAATGAATAAACTTATTTCAATTATTTTACATTAAACATGTGACAGAATTTATGACCTGACTAGGTATATTATATGGTATATAGTTATATTATATTATATTATAGTATATGGTATATAGTTACTGATTCTGACTGGATTTGAGTGATTTGATTTAAGGCATTTGTTCTATTTAATTCATGTCCGACAAATTTTCATTAATTCACACAAAATTTCTAAACGCACGCATAAAATTTGACAACCAATATATATGTCAATTCTTTTTCATTTAAATATGAAATACGTCACTATCCGAATATTGTGTATTATATCCTGTTCTTTAATTTGAGAGGAAAGTTAACCGTATTGACGTAATAAACATTAAATGTTTGACAGTAACGAAACCCACGAACTTGGAACCACGAAAATCGGACTTACCATTCTCGAGTTATAAGTATTCGAACAAACCCGACTCGGCGGTAACGGATAGGTGCGGAGAAGAATGAGCTCTCCCTCTCTCATTGCGAGATGGTGGATTTAGGTTTATTATTAGTCACTTTTATAAGCTTCTTTAATATTATTTAGCGGAGCCGACGTTTACCGTGGCACTATCGCCTACCCTCCATACCAACCCAGAAATATACGATTGCTAAATTTTCAGAACAACACATTGGGAATTCTCGAGATGTGACTTTTGGTGACATGGTACTATCAGCAACAAATGAGAAAGGTTGCGATGTTGTAATATGCAATGTTGTACCCTGGCTCAAACATGTAAGGAAACTAGTGGGAAAAACTCTTTACAAATCACATCTCTTTACAATCAATTATCACTGGTGGTAGGACCTCTTGGGAGTCCGCACGGGTAGGTGCCACCACCCCTAGGACGGGCGCCCCGCGGACTCACCCGCGGGCTATCGCCCCATCGTGTTGCTGGACGAAGCGGGCAAGATGCTCGAGAGGATCGTCGCGGCCCGCATCGTCCGGCACCTGACCGAGACGGGTCCCGATCTTTCGGCGGAACAGTACGGCTTCAGAGTGGGCCGCTCGACGATAGACGCAATTCTGCGCGTGCGTGCCCTCTCCGACGAAGCCGTATCCCGGGGCGGGGTGGCGATGGCGTTATCCTTAGATGTAAGGAACGCCTTCAACACCCTACCCTGGTCGGTGATCGCGGGGGCGCTGGAGTATCACGGCGTCCCCGCATACCTCCGCCGACTGATCGGCTTCTACCGCGAGGGCAGGTCGATCCAGTGCATCGGACACGGTGGGGCGATGTACCGCTTCCCCGTCGAGCGCGGTGTTCCGCAGGGGTCTGTACTGGGCCCCCTGCTGTGGAACATCGGCTACGACTGGGTCCTGCGGGGCGTCATTCGGGGTCCCCTCCCCGGGCTGAGCGTAATTTGTTACGCCGACGACACGTTGGTCGTGGCTCCGGGGAGGGACTACCGGGAGTCTGCCCGTCTGGCGTGCGCAGGCGTGGCACACGTCGTCACAAGGATCCGACGGCTGGGACTCGAGGTGGCGCTCGACAAAACCCAGGCCCTGTTGTTTCACGGGCCGGGACGAGCGCCGCCTCTGGGTGCCCACCTCGTGATCGGAGGCGTCCGCGTCGGGGTCGGGGTGACCGGTCTTCGGTACCTCGGCCTTGAACTGGATGGTCGGTGGAACTTCCGCGCTCACTTTGCGAAGTTGGGCCCTCGACTGATGGCGNTGCCACCACCCCGCCTATTTTCGCCGTGAAGCAGTAATGCGTTTCGGTTCGAAGGGTGGGGTAGCCGTTGTAACTATACTGAGACCTTAGAACTTATATCTCGAGGTGGGTGGCGCGCTTACGTTGTGGATGTCTATGGGCTCCAGTAACCACTTAACACCAGGTGGGATGTGAGCTCGTCCACCCATCTAAGAAAAAAAAAAATAAGCACCACGGCGGTGCGCTGGTTCAATATTTTTGAAGGAAGTTTTTGCGGGGGGCGGTATCGCTAAAGATGCACAAAAAGAGGGGAAGGTCGAGGCTAGGCTATGAGGAGTAGACGTACCTGCCAACCCGTCGCTAGCTTCTTCCAGACTGCAGAATTCGACGTCACTGCTGGACGACGCGTAATGGCGGCGACTTGACACGGTACTCTTCTAAATTATTGTCCATAAAACTTGTATATCACTCGCGCAACGACGAATATGGTCGTCAGTAAGAGTTCGTATAATAGAGATTAATATGAGTCCATGAAAATATTTATGTGAAAAAATAAGCGGTGTGTGCGTGTACAGCGCGTGCGGGGCGGTCGGCGATAGTCTTCTTTTTTTATTTT